TACTGATCTACAAGACAATATTGAAACCTATCTGGACTTACGGACTTGAACTGTGGGGAACAGCAAAATTTACTAAAAACGCATCCAATCCTTCCAATCCAAAGTCCTTCGAACAATAGCCAATGCTAGTTTCTATGTAACCAACAAAACCCTACACCATGACCTTAATATCACATTTGTCCTAGACCTTATCCCAGCAAAATTCTCCAAATTCCACCAGAACCTTACCCATCATCCAAATCCCTTTGCACAATCTCTATCCAGCACCACACGTCCATATAATCCTCCAAGGAGGTTAAAACGGCAGTGGCCCCGCTATCTTTTATATTATGTAAATATTGAAGTTTTGGAAATGGCCAGATTCTCCACTCACGACATGAGTGTATGTGGCTAAAGCACTCTTGCTCAATCTCCACTGGGTTTAGTCCTAGTGACGCGGTTGAGAGAGGAGTGCATGGAACTCCTGGAGTCATACTTTTCCCTCGACAGTTGGAGGGACAAGTCTGGTTTGGAGTTATCTTTCCAAATTGTAAATATTGTATATAGGTGTGTATGTTTTCTTTTTATTTATTTATTTTTAGGTTATTTTATTCTTATTTATTGTATATATATTATTTTTCTTGTCAATTTATTTTATTTATTGTACATAGAGTTTGAATGTGATCTGCGAACTCTATTATAAATGTCCTAGAGACAGATTGTAATATTTTTCAATAAATACGTTTAAAAAAAAAAAAAACTTTTGATTTCTTTTTTTTTCTTCAAATATTTGTTCTGATGATAAATAAACGTCGAAACAACGAATATTCACATTGGTTACAAAATATTTTACATGTTTAAAGTCTTGACCTTTCTTCCTTAATTATTTTCTCCTCAATTCTTGTCAACAGGTTAAGATTTAACAAAATGAACACTTTTTGTTTATTTTCTTATATTATACCTATTGGCTAGGATTGATGAGAAAATAAAATATTTTATTTTTATAATTAAAATATAGCCCGGTGTAAAAGATAGCCCGACATGCCCTCTATGTTCCTTAGACATAATGAGAGGAGAACATGCCCTGCTGGAGAACATGAACTGGATACATGCCCTGCATTACAGAACATAAGATGTTGCTTTAATGAAATTGACAGCTATTATACTCGGAGAGGAAATTTGTATTGGACTGCAAGAGCACGCATGGCTAACGAAGCCGGCGTTACTTAGGAGTAGGAAAAAAAAAAAAAATTAAAATATTACGATTACTTTGTATTTTTTTTTGTGTGTAAATTTTTAGAATCGAAAAAATGAAATCTATATATTGTGAATAAATAGGTGGCGAACAGTAAATGTTTCATATTTGTTATATTTTAAAATATATACAACTGGAAGTAATTCTTAATTAATAATATTTGATATGGACATTATTATTATTTTTTTTTTGTATTTAATGGTACTTTAAAGTTAGTTTAGATAGAATTTAAGAATTTTTTTTTTTAAATAGTGCCCATTGATTATTGCCAAGTAAAATGGACTTGACAGAGAAAATTTATTTCGATTAAAAAAGAAAATGTGTTTTTTAGTAAAAAGGCAATTGTTTATGATGAAAATCGGAAAACTTGTCATGGATTTAATGTAAAATTATTGGTGAGTTCAATAAGTGTGATTATGTTAATTGAAATAAATAAAATTGTAGGATGGAAGACCGAATATTTCATCTATTTAATTATGACTGTCAGGTCATTAATATGGTAAAATAGTGAATAACATACTGCTTATATTAATTTTATTGTTCTCGAAATAAAAAAAAAATTGTTTTTGAAGATCGGCTTAGGATCCGAAATGTTGACAATGAAACATAAACAATAAAAAATTATATAAGAAATGGATGAACTTCTTATGAATGAACACTATAAAAAATGTTCAATTCTTCATTATCAAATAAAAAGTGGATAAATTAAAATTTTCGATCTTTAGCGGGTGACAAATATTAACAAAAAATGTGTAACTTTTTTGATCGTTGAAACATGATATATGATTTAAACGCCGTTAGGTTTTATGCAATTGTGAAATAAATGAATAATAATAATAATAATAAGTTTATTTATTAAGCAATTTTACAAATGCCTTTTGACATGTTTTGTAAATGTGGTGGTTCGAACCTCCTCTCCGGGATTAGCGTGAATGCGTGATTGGAGAAGCCTCCCAGTGAAGACACTCCTAACGTGACTCTCAATGTAGCAGATCCCTGCTCCAGAGGCGTTTGAGTCTCCTCGGTGGATTCTGTGGTAGTGTGTCTGTTAATAATGTTTGTACAAGTGGCTTAGGATGTCCAGGATCATGAAAATTATTGTTATATTTTTTAATTACATCAGTCACTTGTGGTGTTTGTAGGTCTTTATGAAGTGATTTATTGGTTATGTAGATGGGACAATGAGTGATATAGCGGAGAAATTTAGATTGAAAAATGTGAATAGTTTGTAAGTGTGTTTTTTTGCATGAACCCCACACCTGAAAGGCATACGTCCATATTGGTCTGAGTAGCATGTTGTATATAGTAATTTTGTTAGAAAGAGTTAGTTTGTTTTTATGGTGTAGCATTCGTCTTAGGAGTGACAATCGATAGTTCAATCTCTTTTTTAATGTAGTCACGTGTGATTTCCAGGTCAGTCGTCTGTCCATTGTGAGTCCAAGATATTTTGTCTCTGTATGATTTGGCAAAGGGGTGCTGTAAAGTGTCAGTGGAGGGCAATCCGAACGTTTAAGTGTAAATGTAACCTGGTTTGATTTTTGAATGTTAATATTTATGCGCCATTTATCAAGCCAGTCTTGTAGAAGATTTAAATGAATCTGTGCTTTCTGAGATGCTGTGATCAGATTAGAGTCAGTCGAGAGTATGACAGTGTCGTCTGCGTAAGTTGCGAGTAATGTGTCTGGTGTCTGTGGAATATCAGAAGAGTAAATTGAGTACAGAACCGGACCTAAAATACTGCCCTGCGGTACTCCCGAGTCGATTCGGCAATATTCGGAGTATTTACCATCCTGGTTAACAATAAAAAATCTATCCTCAAGATACGATCTGATGATTAAATAGTATGTATGCGGAAAGTTCGGTTTAATTTTACAAAGTAGACCATCATGCCACACTTTATCAAAGACCTGTGAGACGTCTAAGAAAGCTGTTGTGCAAAATTCCTTCTTTTCCAATGCCACCTCAATTGTATCAATCACTCTATGACATTGTTGTATGGTCGAGTGTACAGGTCTAAATCCAAATTGGTGATTAGGAATAACATTGTTTGCTTCTAAAAATGGATAGAGCTGTTTTAATAATAATTTTTCAAATATTTTGGAAAATAAGGGTAATAGACTGATAGGCCTATAGGACGTGACTTGATCTAAAGGTTTACTTGGTTTCGGTATCATTTTTATGATTGAAAATTTCCATACTAGAGGAAAGTAAGTAAGTCGAAGGATAGAATTGTAAATAGCTGTCAGGAAGATTAATGCTTTTTTGGGTAAAAGTCGTACAATTTTATGTGTGATTAGGTAAAAACCAGGAGATTTTCTGCTAGGTAATTTTTTAATACAAAATTCTATGTCCGAAGGAGTTATAGGGGGAGGAGGTAGAGAAAGGAGAAGAGGAGAAATGAGGATTAGTTGGACGTCTGAGCAGTGCTGTTGATCAGGCAAGTCTTCATGTGGATGAAATACGTCTGTAAGATAAGTAGAAAATAAGTCTGCTTTCTCTTTATCGCTTCTAGCCCATGAGTTGTCTGTTTTACGGAGAGGAGTCTTTGTTTGGTGGTATCCTAGTATCTTTCGGGTTTGTTGCCAGAGAGTATTCTTACTTGTCTGGAAGGTAGTCAGATGTTTTTTTGTAAGTTTCCTGTTTGTATTGTTGTATAAGTTTTCTAAGTTTGTTAAAAATTGCGTTTAGTAGCTGTTTGTCACTAGGATAGCGAACTCTTTTCCATTGGTTGAGAGCACGTCGTTTTTCAATTAGAAGTGATCGTATTTCCGGGAGTGAATAATGTTTGTTGCGGTTGGTCTCGTACTTGTTTGCTGATTGCCAATCGGCTGTTTGTACAGTCTTAGTAAGCGTCTCAACTGCATTGTCAATATCATTTTCCGTCTTTAATCTTGTGTTTAGATCAATTGTCTTATTAATAATGGAATGAAATTTATCAATTAATATTGGGCCCAGGAGTTAGTGTAAGTGTGTGGTTGTTAGTAAACATGTGTCTAGAGAGAGATAAAATAACCGCTGAATGGTCTGATGATAAGTCGTTAATAATAGAGATATGATGGTGTAGTGTGTGTAGGCTAGAAGTTATAAAGAAATCAAGCAATTCTGGTTGACGGTTTATGTCTATCGGCCAGTACGTCGGTTTAGGTGGTAGTATGCAGTTATAGTCCAGTTCTATACATGTATTAAAAAAAGAGGGTTTCCTCTAGAATTATTGGTCCAATTGCCGAAACGGGGATGCTTGGCGTTAAAATCTCCTCCACATAAAAATTTAGGTCCTAAGCTGGCAAGTATATCTGTAAACGTTTCTTGTGAAACTCTTTGTCTCGGAGGACAATATGCACTGGCAATAGAAATTTTGGTGTGATCGATTTCAACCGAAATAGATAATAATTGAATTTCTGGTAAGGCAGTCATTTGAAGAGGATAGTGGTATATTGTTCGTTTTACGACTATTGCCGAGCCACCACTGGCAGTACCTCTGGGATGGGCAGCGCGGTACACTACATACCCTTGTATGTAAAATTTTGTAGTTTGAGTAAACTGAGTTTCTGTTAGTAATGCAATGTCAATGTCATTTTCATGTAAATAAATATCAAGTTCATTCCTTCGGTGTAGGGCTCCATTTAAATTCCAAAGAAGGATTTTTAGAGAGTGTTGTGAGATAGAATTAGGGACTAACATGAAGAATAAATTTGGTAGTTAGCGTGATGAGAAGAGTGATGAGCGGAGTTATCATAGATTTAAAATCATTTAAGAAGGAATTAAATTATAATGAGAGATCTGGAGTATTAGGTTGTGTATTAGATGTTGTGTGATGAGGTCTTGAGTATGAGGTTGACGTATATTGACGCGGTATGTATTGAGATTGGGTATAATGAGGTACTGAACGGTCAGGGATTATCCTGGTTTGGTTTATTGAGTGCTGAGGAGTTATACTTGTAGTATGAGGAGTATAGTATTGAGGAGATATATTTGAAGTTCGAGGATCTGTAATTTGATTAGTCGTATGATGAGGAATGGTATTGTGAGGCATTACATTGTAAGGAGGTATATTTGAAGCTTGGGGATTTGTAATTTGAGGAGCTATATGATGAGGAATGATATTGTGAGGGATTACATAACGAGGAGATTCATTTGAAGTTTTGGGATTTGTAATTTGAGTTGTATGATGAGGAGCAATATTGTGAGAGATTGCGTAGGGAGGAGTTACACCCGTCGTTTGAGCAGTTGTGAATTGTGGTGTTGTGTTGTGATATGTAGTTTTAGTACACGTTGCCAGTGCGTAAGTCATGTTGTGTAGTTTTTGCGAGATAGGGACGTTGTCAGTAAGTCGGTCGTGTTCTGCCTCTGGAGGCAGGTGTTCTGTTACCTCTCTACTCGAAGTGGCCTGGTTTCAAACATTGAGTCTTCTTTTCTGCTACTCTAGATGCACTACGCATCCCCTATAATTCGCAGGATGATTACCACTGCACAACGCACAAACAGGTGGCTCTTCAAGTGGTTTCTGGCACCTATCACTAGGATGATCTTGACCGCACTTCACACATCGTGGTTTATGATGGCAAAATGTTCTGGTGTGCCCGTATTTTTGGTATCTCATACATTGAATAATACTTCTTCTTTTGTAAGGTTCTTCAATCCTAACTCTCGTGTAAGCCAAATTAGTGATATTAAAAACTTCAGCATTGTTTGGAGCTGTCTCTAAGTCAACAAAGGAGAGTGGGAGTGGTTCTTTTGATCTCGGGTGTAACACATTAGTGATGAGACGGATGTTGAATCCTTTTCTTTCACGATCATATTTTATTATTTCGTGTGGTGTTGAATAATGGAGATTTCTAATAACAAACCTATATGGTTTGTCTTCTTCAGATTGATGAGTGTGAAAGTTGTAATTGTTGGTTTCTAAATATTTAATGCAGACTCTTTAGGCTTCACTTGTTTTAATATTTAATGTAACAATCGATTTGTTAGAAAAACAATCAAAATTATTTTCTCCTGAAAGGCTTACTAAATTCGTGCATAGAGTTTGGAAGTTTTTTATGCCTTTTATTTTAATTGGAGGTGGTTGATGAGCAACTGTTGTTTCGTCAGGTTCGTCTTCCATTTCGGTAGAAAGAGGTTCAAACCTATTACTGACCGGAACGTTAAGGATACTATTTATTGTTGTTGGCTTATTTGTTGCATTTGAGCTCTGAACAACATTTTCTGGTACTCCAGGGTTGTTAGCATCATGTTCTAGTGTAGATTCAATGATATGTGTCGTAGAGTTATTATTTTCAATAATTAAAATATTCATTTCAGTATTCGTAGAGTTAGGGAGGTTATGTGAATTAACATATGTTTGCTTTTGGTCAGGATTTTTTGATGTAGTTTTTATCACAGAATTGTTTTAATTCGCTCTCTTTTTCTCATTTGTCCCGTCTTTCGATGAAATACTTGAATTGGATCTTACCTTTCTCTTTAGCAGTTTTAACAAAACGGCCTGATCCGACAGTCCACTCGAGCCAGCTAACTGGCGTGCACTCATAAGTTAAGTATCTGTTTTCACTTTAAAAAGCTATACAAACAGATTATGCCTTTAAATATAACACATTTTCACTATAAGACACATAACGAATACAAGAATTCAATAATTTATAAGAAGAATTTTTTTAGAAACCGCACTGTTCAATCGTAGCAGCTGATATCGAAATAAATGAACAAACAAAATAAACCTTAAATTACATATATTGAAAAAAATAAATAAATATGGAAACAATTTTTGTAATTCGTTTAATTATTGCATCTTTATTGAACTGATTTAGAAGATCGTGGTTAATGTGGCTTTGGATCATAGTGAAAAAAAGATATGATGACAAGAAAGGATCAAGAGAAGAGGGGATCAAGAGAAATAAACATTTCGAAAACCTTAAAAAAAATCTGGTGCCCGCAACACACAACTTTCACTTACCGATCTACTTTGAATCGAAATTATTTTCTGACAATGCTGGGCTCTTATAAAAAATTTTGAAGTGCATTTCAAACGGAGCTAAAGCTTAAAGCTTACAGATAACAAGTCATTAAGACCATTATAATTACAAAATGTCTATTTAATATATCGACGACAGGCAATAAAAATCTAGTAACTTCATCTGCTTTTATAAACCATACAACTTTCTTTGCTTTTATAAACCACCGAATGACTAACTCCAATTTCAACATTTTTGAGTGATGTCATTTTAGTGATATTTTTAATTGAAAAATTTATCGATGCAGACAATAAGTAAGTTGATTCCAGAAGTGGTGAATGCAGTGTTGAAATATAGAACTGAGAAAAAAGGTATACATTTAGGTACTTATTTCTTATGAAAGATGTTCTTAGGAAAGATAATTTATTAAATATCTGTAGAAAAAAGATATTTTTAGTCTCAACAATTAAATAAGTATATTTTAAATTTATTCAAATTTTAGCATCTTCAGGGAAAAAAACTAGAGACCATATCTGTCCTCCTAATTGTCCGATTTCAACGACTTATTTTTGTTTGTTTTTTAGGAAATTCCATAAACTATTAAAAAACCATAACAATATCTCCAAAAAAGCTTATACTTTTTGAGTTATTCGGAATTTAATATAACCATCTCTTGTAACTCGCTGCAGTATATAGCAACGCAGGTTTTTCTGCATTTTTATTTTTTTCTCCTTTATTAACTTATCAAATTCTTTCAAAAGTTATATGTATCATTTTTTTATAACTCTGAATAAGGCGAAATGGTTAACATTGGGCATTTAAGCCTTGTAAAGTGACATCAACGGGGATAAGACTTAAATGATATTAAATACCACTTAATTATACAATGATACACCGAGTTTAATCAAAATCGTTAGAGCCGATTTGAGAAAATTGTAAAAATGTGTTTCAGCGTTCATATAAAGTGGTACTTCCGGTTAGCTTATTTTAACAAAAAATTTGTTGTCACATCCGGCCCATATACAAACTTAAATACTTAATATCAGTTTCGTACTACTTTTCGTTTATGAGCTAGACTGTTAACACACACACACAGAGCATTTTGCGACACTTTGTTATTTGGCCTCAGGGGACCTCAAAACATGTATTTCTGTTGAAAACTGAGAATCGAAAATTTTCACGATCGCAATACTTACCCTTACTATATATTACATATATACGTAAATGAAAGTAAAAATAGAACGCCGCCTAACCTTAAGTCATTTGGCGTTTAAGTTACTTTAAAGTTAGTGGCCATAAATTTTATATTTTATTTTTGAATTATTGGATTATTTTATTTAATTTTTTCTTAAATCTTTAAAGTCATTTCCTAAAGTTTTAATTTATGATATTTCAATTTAATAGGCCCTTTCTTAGTGAGGGCTCTACGCGACCGCTTTGTTCCCATTGGATTGAGATTTACTTCTATGAAATTTCGAGTTAAAAAGAATGAATAAAGAAAAGTGAGGTAAATGAAGACTCTCTCTAATGATTAACTTGTAAGTGTCGATACAGGTAGCTCACTTATAATATAAGAGATGATATTTGAATTGTTACAAATATTAATCGGACATTGCCATACGTTAACATGAAATATCTTCCGAACTGTCCCTGCTGACTCATTCATGTATTTAAATGCAATTCATGTGTTATGGTATTGACCAATAATTTATGACGCATTTTATGTAACGTCGTTTCAAGATCTGCATTCCCCATCCTCTAATGATTCATCAAGTAGATTGCCTTCGGTACCTATAGCGTTATTTTGTCTATTTTTTAACTCCCATCCACGTGAGTCCGACCCCTTTCTGTGAACGAATTTAAATCTATTGCAATTAGGTCGAGGAAGTGCTTACCAACAGAACAAATAACTGCTAGGACAAGAAGCTGCCGGAGCAAGAATGTTAAGGGCCTTGGACTTTCTTGGGTGTGTCCCAGTTGTTGTATTTTCAAGGATCTTATAGCTGTTGTTTAGTATTTTACTAAATGTTTACAGTGCTACTTCCGAAGGCAGATTCTTTTGAAGATATCGTGCTTTATAGTGTTTATTACAAGCCGATCGTTAACTGAATTACAGCTGCATTTGTCGTTAAATTTTACGATTCGAGAAATATTTCATCTACAACGTTAATGAAGTTTTTTTATTGTCCTTTTTTTTAGCGAGTTAATTCCAAGAAAGAAAATTAAAATCACTCTTTTAAATGGTAATCAAAGTGTTTGTTAAGAGCCACTAGCGGATCCAGGATTTAATTTTGGGGGGGGGGCTTCAGCCCTAAACCTTTTTTTTTTTCATAAAAATAACGATAATTACTTTGGAAAAACAGAAAGAAACTAACTACCTATATGAAATGGTGTTTAAGTTATTCCTTAAGTACTTTTAAATGTAATTACACGAACAATAATACTATAAGAGATATTTTTTTCCCATAAAACATTGTTATATTTTTTCATTTTGGGGGCTTCAGCCCAAAAGTCCCTCCCCCCTTAGATCCGCCCGTGTTAAGAGTGAATTGAATGCGTTTGAGAGCCAATATGTAGCAAATAGACAATTTGAGGTGGTTTGACAGTTGAATGCAGATTTTACTATATGCTCCATATCTTCATTTGAAAAATATACTAATGCCGTAATTCTTGGCACAACAGGCGCATGTAGATCATCTAGGCTTGATCAACTGCTGCCAGACATCTTGTTCTATTTTGAGCGTGGATGAAGCTTATTCTCAATATATTGATGTCACTGAGACTTGCTCTTTCAATCGGTTCTAAGAGCTTTCTCTGGGTCTTTCTTCGCTGGATGTTCCCTAAAGTTATCTTGCGATGGATGTGGACCCATCCATTTCAATTGCTGAACTATAATTTGATAGGCTGATATTATTATATACAAATGTTTGTTGCCGCATTCTCTCTTCGAACTTAAGTCCTAATATTGTTTTCAGAATCCACCTTTCAAACCTCTTCAGTTTGTCCGGAGTTGCTCTGGTTCGATGTTCAGGCTTCCTCAGCATATATAATTACTGGTTTCACCAATGATTTATAATTCCTGAACTTGGTCGCTTTGCTGTTTAGTCTGTTTTTCAGGATGTTCGTGAAATTGAATTCAGAAAATTAGTTCTACTACATTAGAGTTGGAATTTCCTTAAATTAATCTGATTTGAAGTTCTTATTACATGGTTGGTATTCGCAAGAATATGAGGGTTAATATTTATTTATAATAAAATCTAAGGAAGCAGGAGGTTCGATAACGGTGCCACGGTATCAGTTATAAATTATTTTTTCGAATTGTAAGATTATTATGTTAAAAACGCGAGGCATAATTGAAAATCTTCGATTTTTCAGATGTAAACATGTTAAAAGAAGTAAACGAAACGTACCATTACAGCATTACAAGTTATCATGGCTCTGATATGATTGCAGCCATTACAAGTTATACAATCATTAATCACAGCTGGTGTGAAAGCGTTAAAAGCCGAAAACCAATCGATATTTTTCTAATCCATTGAATGCTGTTTTTATAGTTTGTTAGAGTCTTAAAGACACTCAACGTGTAGGTGAAATGTATAATTAAAATTGAAATATTTGGTTAGAGTTCAGGAACTAACCAAATTTTTATTAAAAATTAATTTTAGAAAATAATAATTCAAATTTTTTATTCCTCGAATAGGAAAACATTTTTTTTTCTGAAGGCAAAGCTGTATTATGATACTATATATTTAAGCGTATCAGCCCCGAAAGCTAATCCTAACTTTGTTGGGTTTTGGATGAATTAACGTTTTTTTTCTTTTTATTATGTTTTAAAATAAAGTAAACAAAAAACTAATAAAAAGTTAACCGAAAAAATTCTAATGATTTTTTTCCTTCAGTTGTTTAAGAATGATCAGTAACCATGTTTTGTTTAGTATAAGTCATTATTGAAATATTAATAATTGTTTTACTCACTAATTATAATTAACTAAGAACAATTGCAAAAAATTTTAAATTCAAATTTTTTTTTGTTTCCCATTCTTGCTTCTAAATAATTAGTAGGTATATATTTACCAGAGATGTGTAAACGCTACTCTGAGTACTCAGTACCAAATATTTTACTCAAATTTACTCTGACCGGTTTTTTGAGTACCAAAGAATTTAATTACTGCTTCAGTTGATGTTGAACTATTAACTGAAGTAGTGGTTGAATTCCCAATAGTGATTCAATTTGAGTAAAATACTTGGGACTCGGTACTCAGATTAGCATTTGCCCATTTCTGATATTTACTAAGAATTTATTCTGCTGTGTCAATATTTTATTTATATTTTTTACTTTTAATTTTAATCGCACTAGTTATTTTTTTTTATTATTTGTTTCAATTTTTATTTTTTATTATGTAATGGCGGTTAGTATATAAATTTTTAATTAGATGTTTAATTTTCTATTTCTAAGTAAAAATTCTTATTTTATCCAATTAATAGTTGGTAACCAAGTGTAAGATTGTATTTTTTGTTGGTTCTAGTTTTGTTTGTTTGTATATTCATAGTTCTTTTTTATGGATTGGTTGTTTTGAAA